AAAATATGGCTGTATGTGACAAGAGAAAACTGCTGTTTACAGACACTTTTCATTCTTTTTGACTGAAGTGAAAGTATTTTGAAAAGACAATGGGCAAAATGTTTAATTTCCTGATGTGAAAAGCTGTTTGTGACTTTATCCTTCCTTATTATTTGACGTTTGCCAGTACCATATGCTGAAAAACAGCCCCACGCCATGATATTCCCACCTTCAAACACTGTTGGTGTGGAGTTTTGGGGCGATGTGCAGTGCCATTTGACCTTTAAACATGATGTGTATTATGGCATTTAAAGAGATCAATTTTGGTCTAATCTGACCAGACTATATTCTCCCAGTATTTCACAGGCTTGTCTAAATGTTGTAAAGCAAACTTTAAACAAGCTTTAACATTGATTTTCTTCGGCAATAGAGTCTTGCGTGAGGATAATGCATTCAGGCTATGGCGGTTGAGTGCATTACTTATTGTTTTCTTTGAAACAATTGTACCTGCTAATTCCAGGTCTTTCTGAAGCTCTCCACAAGTAGTCTCTGGCTCTTAGACAACTCTTCTGATAATTCTTTTTACACCTCTGTCAGAAATCTTGCAAGGAGCACCTGGTCATGGTCAGTTTATGGTGAAATTCACTGGAACATTTAGAAGTTTAGATATCCTTCTGTAACCAATGCCATCATTATGATTTGCAGCAAGGTTGCAAAGGTCTTAAGAAAATCTTTACTTTTACTCATCATAAGATGATTCCTGTGTGATAGCAGAGACACCTTTTTATAGGCCATCATTTGCGACTGAACCAGCTGATATTAATTTGCACTGAAAAGGGGCAGGGTTGCTTTCTAATTGCTGAGAGGTTTCAGTTGGTGTCTTGGCTTTCCATACCTTTTTACAACTCTATTTCTTCAAGTGTTCATTACATTTCCCCTGTTTTCAATTTCAATACTTATTTCACCTGCTGTACAAAACCACCTCTCTTATTCTCTTCTAGTGTTACTTATTTGACAGAATTACAATCACTATAGTAATTTCTCCTCTGAAATTTTCCTGCGTGCTCTCATAATCCTCAGTAGATATCTTATTACTTCATGTCAGCTTTAGAAAAGTTATTATTTAGCTTGATGAGAGTACTTTACAGCCAGCTGCCTGCTTATACAGATAATTTTGGGGCCTTTAGCTGTTTGCTGAATTGAGGTGACAAAAAGGTTGGACTTTTACACAATTATGTAACTGATAGTTTTCAGCTGCTGTTGCAATGAGTACAAGTTGATCCATGAGCTCCTGGCTAATGCATTGAAGTCATGTCACAAAAAGCTTTCTTAGGTTACCATGTTTCAAGTAAAAGCAATATGTTGTGATTGAGCTGGTACACATCTATAGTGAGTAAAAATCTTAAGTACATCAGATGTTCCCTGGAAAAAAGATTGATACATTATCGAGGTGTCTTTTAAGTGATCTGATTTGCAGAGTAATGAGTCTGTAGAACACTTACATTTAGGTCAGGGGCCATTATAAGCTGCAGAACTTTTTTATTATATTTAATGTTTTGTAGTCATTCAGCATTTCTTGTATAAGATGAAGGTTAACTGAAGCCTAGGAAAAAATAAATAACTATGAATATTTTTTTTCCTGTTTAGGTTGGAACAGATTATTTGTGTTTCACAGCATCGTATGGAAATATGCTTTTTGCAAAGAAACACGGCTTTTTTCATCCTACAGCTTTTAATGCTTTTGTGTTACAGTTTTGTTGGAGAGATTGGGCCTGAAATTAAAACAGCATGAGATGCAGGTGAAACCTGATTTTATTACATGAAAACAATTTATAGCTGCTCACCCTGAACACCTTGACAGTCAAGTTGAAATTATAATCTTTCTTGGTCTGTTTGCTTCAGATTAAAATTTTTTAAGTATGGAACAATATACCACAATTGGTGCATTAAAATGCTCCTTGCGGGCTGCTTATCTCTAAATCCGTCACTGAATGAATCATGTGACCCACAGCTCTGCTTTACAGGAGTTTGTGTTTCCCTAAACACGAGAGCCTATTATGATAGATTTTGTTGTCAGACAACAAAACAGATATGACACTGACTTGATCAGTCACATTTTACATTCTCAGATGTGGGATTTAATCTAAAGGGGTGAATGCGGCCTTACCTTTACTAATAACTTCATGACTTCTCAGTCTGCTTGTCCAAGGTGGTCTGCTATTAGATTTAAAAACACTAAGGGCAACGTGACAGTACATTGCTGCCTGCAGGGGCGTTAAACCTGGAAGTTACAGGTCAGTGTTACATTGATTATTTTTTATATACTATTTGTTAAGTTAAATTTTTATGTTTTTAAAGGCTTTTTTCATCTTGCTTAAAAGATTACATGCTGCAGCAGTTCGAATCACCTTACTGTTTAAATCACCTTATCATTTATGTTGGTAGGTTTTTAATACCAATTAAAATGTGGCTTGCATCAGATTTTGGGTCAATCTCTCTCTCTGGAATCTACCAGCTTCTAAAATCTCTCATGAGGAAAACCTTAAGGGGGCCACTGGGGTGTCAGTCAGAGCATTGGTAATAGCTGAGCTGTGACAAACAGAATCTTTTGATCTCCATCTGTCTCTAGTTCCACTAAAGCAAGTCTGGGTTTATTGCCCCTCTCCTGCTGCTCTCAGTCGAGCCGTCATTTCCTTTTATATTTCCCTTCAGCTTCCCTTCATCCCCTGGTCTCACTGTCTTCATACTCCTGTATTTCCCTTTATTCATTAAACCCCAAGGCAGAGGCGTCTCTGAACCTTTTCTATCCCAAGAGAGGTGACCTTCAGTGATGAAAAGCTCGGCGACAGAGTGGTATTTCTAATACACAACTGCCCCTTATTCCCCCATATATTCTTCTACCTCATCTCTCTGTGGTGACACTCTGTGATCTAACACCAAGTTTAGCTCCAGCATTGCAGCCAAGTCAAACTGCTTTAAACCAATGTTTCTAAATCAATCTGCAGTCTTGCTCCTTGGTTACTGCTGCCCAGGGGTCAAAGTAGATTTAAATTCAAAGGGGTCTGATACAAAATAAAAAATACACAGGGAACCTACATAATTGCCTTATAATGCCATGGCAATCTGGACCTAAGTTTCAAAATGTTAACTAAACTTTTGAAATATTCATTCATACTATTTTATCAGGGTCTTCATCCAAAAATAAACAGAATGCAGTGAAATATCTACTTTGGATATTATTTATGGATTCCATGTGGTAGATTTTTTACACTTGGCAGAGGATGATCAGCCACATATAGTTTATTAAGTAAGGAGAGCAGGAAGAGCAATACTGCTGAGAGCGAACCATCAGTGTGGTGCACAAAGCCCAGAATCTAAGCGCAAAAACGCATTTCTGTGAGAGTGTCAGAGTTGAGAGCACAGTACTGACGATTCCAGCCTACTTTTACTCCCTCTGCTGCTGCAGCGGCCCATCTGTGGTCATGCAGAATCTGCAAAGCTGCACGCCAGGTGAACGGCATGACCAAACAAGACTCCGCAGCAAGGCTGATACTGCTCAACAGATTACAGCACAATGATGCATATTAAACGTCTGACAGACCACCCGCTAACATTTGTATTTAGTCTCGTCTCACGACAAAAACTCACACCCGTGAGTCATCATGTTTTCGTCATCCATATTTAGCTCGTCCGTTTTCGTTATCATTATGAAAAAAAGGACTGTTAATGAAATAATTTCATCATTGTTGACGAAAACAACACTGATCTATAGAAGGTGTTCACAACAGAAACACAGGTTTTAACAGACTTTAAAAACTACATAGCATAGATGACATAAAAGTAGTTTGATTCATTCAGAAATGTAACAGTTGGGACTCTTCTTATTCTAATCTGAACATAGTTCTCCAATGGGTAAAAATGTACTCTATTAAAGCTACAGTGTGTAATTTTCACCGACATCTAACGTCCGGACTGCAGACCGCAGCAACATGAACATCCCCCTCCCACCGCTTCACGTTGATTGTGAGAAAAAAGGATTTTTCTCACAATCAACTTTTTCCTATACCCGAACAAGTCAGCTAAACAGCTAAACCATAAATGATATTGAAAAAAATCCTTCAATGTGAGTGCTAGTAGGGTCTGAAGATGTTCTATACCAAGTTTCATGTTTGTACATCAAACAGTTTAGCAATGGCAGCGATACGAAAATATGTGTCATTTTGGATTTTTGTCTAAGCTTCTTGGAAAGTCTCTCATTGAATTTCTATTGGGGAAGTGTGGACTTCTTCGTGGTCTAGGCCAAACTGTAGGAAAACTGTAAATCCCACACAAATGAGGATTACATTTCCTGAATCCTGACAAAAATACTTACGTTTTGATGTATCGTTTTCTTACATAGATTGAGAAATGAGTGAGTGAGTTGAAGCTGTTTGGCATGAGTTAAATGTTTGAAAACCCTAGAGTGACCACACTCTAGCAGCTGAACATTCCGTCCCTAGACTTCCATTATAAATCAGAAAATCTGTAAAAATTCTTTAAAAGTTTGAAGCTTCACTAAAGCAAACCTGTAAAAGTTAGCAAAAAATATTAGTTAAACAGTAATAGCAGAAAGATACAGAAACATTTTAAAAGTTTAATGGTGTTTCTAGCTGAAAGTATGCTGAAGTAGTTAAACGTAAAAGATGGTGAAGTTTTAGCTGAATTTTGCTAAAATCTAAGAATTCTATATGCATTTCAATTGGACAAAAAAAAAAAAAAAATTGGTTGAAAACGTATGCATTCCCACTTGATTTTTTTTCTTTTGTGGATATTAAAAATATTGTGTTGCTATAACTTGTTTGTCAATTTAAAATGTTTTTTATGTTTCAATATGTTTTGTATTGCATTATCTGTCACTTTGCTTTAGAATAGAAGTGGGTTAGTTTTTTATTATGTTCAATCAAAACCAATACCTCTGCTAAAGTTGTCCTTTGTCACATATAAAAGTGGAACCTTGGTTCTATGCCATTTGCTCAGTCTTACTTGCAGTCATGTGACCAAAGTTCCATTCAGTGGACAGGCTGATCTGGGATCAGTGACTGTTTCCATGCCGATAGATATGACATCATCAGTCTATGAGGTAGGCAGTCTAGAATTCTATAAATAATTCTAGAAGCCTAGTCTAGTGCACAGTCCAGACACATTCTTTAGCGAACTACTTGAGAGAACAGTTTCACTTTGCAGCACCTTGTTAAAAATAAGACAATGGAGAATATTGGAGCCAATCAACCTTTTAATGTCTTCCAAAGGTTCAACAAGGTCCTGAAACAAGAAAATGAGGCTTTGCAGCAGGAAATTATGGAGCTGAAGGACAAACTTCAGCAAGCTGAAGACAAAATCCAAGCGCAGATGAGGTCCACCTGCTGCCACACAAAAGAGAAACACCAGAAGGAACTCATTAACTTACAAATGAAATATGAAGATCAAATTTTCCACCTCAACATTAAATACGAGTTTGGAATGCGTTTGGCTGAGCTGAAGCTGGAGCAAGCTGAGACAGAGCTTAAAAAAGAAAAGCACCTCAGATTTGAAAGTGAATATGAAAAACTGGAAGCTCTGGAGATCACACAGGCACTTTCCGACAAACTCCAAAAATTGGAGATTTCCAAAGGGTGTTCAGAGAGATGTGAGATGCATAATACCATCAGAGAGCTGCAAGAAAAGCTAGAAAAAGAAAGAGAGCTGAGGTTGAACGCAGAGACTGAAACATTTGAACAGTTAGAGGCTTTGTTCGAAGAAATGGACAAAGATATTAAGAGAGAGCAAGATCTTCGAATCCAAGTAGAGGCAGAAAAACAGAAGGCTACAGAGATCATACAGATACTCTTCAACAAACTAAAAGATATAGAGAAAAGATTTCAGGAGGGTTCAGCTTCTGTGAAACTGGATGACCTGAACATAATGAACCTGGACATTCAACAACTGGAAGAAGAGCTTCAAGAAAATAGGAAAGTAGGGCTCCAGGCAGAAAAACGGAAACTAAAAGAAACTCAGAGCACATCCAAGGAGGTCGACCAGAAAAAACTTCAACATGACATCCAGCAGCTGGAAACGTTGCTCCAAGAAGAGAAAAGATTGAGGCTCCAAGCAGAAACTGAAATCTCTAATCATGTAGAAAGTGTCAGCGCTTTGTGTCAAGAACTTAATCAAGAAGTCATAAGGGTACGAGCCTCTTTGGAAAGAAGTGAGGCAGAAAGGCTGAAGGCTGTGGAGAAAAGCCAGACCCTTCTCAGGAAACTAGAGCTCAGGGATGATCATTAATACCATCAAGATTACATCCAATAGTTGAAACTTGATATTCAACAACTGGAAGAAGAGCTTCAAGAAAAGAGGAAAGTGGGGCTCCAGGCAGATAAATGGAAACTAAAAGGAACTCAGAGCACATCTAAGGAGGTCGACCAGAAAAAACTTCAACATGACATTCAGCAGCTGGAAACGTTGCTCCAAGAAGAGAAAATATTGAGGCTCCAAGCAGAAACTGAAATCTCTAATCATGTAGAAAGTGTCAGCGCTTTGTGTCAAGAAGTTAATCAAGAAGTCATAAGGGTACGAGCCTCTTTGGACAGAAGTGAGGCAGAAAGGCTGAAGGCTGTGGAGAAAAGCCAGACCCTTGTCAGGAAACTAGAGCTCAGGGATGATCACTAATACCACAAGATTACATCCAATTGTGGGAACAATGACTGAAGAAGCAAAACCCCTGGGATTCTAGGCAGAAAATAAAAGCAAACACATTGTGAAAAGTGAGGCTGAGAGTTTTGAAAAACTTAAAGCCACAGTGTGTAACTTTTAGCGACATCTAGCGGTCAGACTGCAGACTGCAGCAACATGAACATCTCCCCCCCCACCGCTTCTCCCCCCCAACAGTACGGCGAGCGTTACGGGACAAAAGGTCTTCCACGACGTCCGCATTACATACCTTCTCAAGTGATGAGGTTTGTTTACATAGATAATTTTGCAGATAGTATTTCATTAGTCTGTGTAGGGTATACACTCACCGGCCACTTTATTAGGTACCCCATGCTAGTAACGGGTTGGACCCCCTTTTGCCTTCAGAACTGCCTCAATTCTTCGTGGCATAGATTCAACAAGGTGCTGGAAGCATTCCTCAGGGAGTTTGGTCTATATTGACATGATGGCATCACACAGTTGCCGCAGATTTGTCGGCTGCACATGATGCAAATCTCCTGTTCCACCACATCCCAAAGATGCTCTATTGGATTTAGATCTGGTGACTGTGGAGGCCATTTGAGTTCAGTGAACTCATTGTCATGTTCAAGAAACCAGTCTGAGATGATTCCAGCTTTATGACATGGCGCATTATCCTGCTGAAAGTAGCCATCAGAAGTTGGGTACATTGTGGTCATAAAGGGATGGACATGGTCGGCAACAATACTCAGGTAGGCTGTGGCGTTGCAACGATGCTCAATTGGTACCAAGGGGCCCAAAGAGTGCCAAGAAAATATTCCCCACACCATGACACCACCACCACCAGCCTGAACCATTGATACAAGGCAGGATGGATCCATGCTTTCATGTTGTAGACGCCAAATTCTGACCCTACCATCCGAATGTCGCAGCAGAAATCGAGACTCATCAGACCAGGCAACGTTTTTCCAATCTTCTATTGTCCAATTTCGATGAGCTTGTGAAATTGTAGCCTCAGTTTCCTGTTCTTAGCTGAAAGGAGTGGCACCCGGTGTGGTCTTCTGCTGCTGTAGCCCATCTGCCTCAAAGTTCGACATACTGTGCGTTCAGAGATGCTCTTCTGCCCACCTTGGTTGTAACGGGTGGTTATTTGAATCACTGTTGCCCTTCTATCAGCTCGAACCAGTCTGGCCATTCTCCTCTGACCTCTGGCATCAACAAGGCATTTCCGCCCACAGAACTGCCGCTCACTGGATGTTTTTTCTTTTTCGGACCGTTCTCTGTAAACCCTAGAGATGGTTGTGCGTGAAAATCCCAGTAGATCAGCAGTTTCTGAAATACTCAGACCAGCCCTTCTGGCACCAACAATCATGCCACGTTCAAAGTCACTCAAATCACCTTTCTTCCCCATACTGATGCTCGGTTTGAACTGCAGGAGATTGTCTTGACCATGTGTACATGCCTAAATTCACTGAGTTGCTGCCATGTGATTGGCTGCTTAGAAATTAAGTGTTAACGAGCAGTTGGACAGGTGTACCTAATAAAGTGGCCGGTGAGTGTAGATTTCATGTAGAATTAAGATAATAAATATACCCATTATTTTTTCTACATCGTGACATTTTGGCGATCTCGCAATCACTAGTTTGTTGGCTCTGCGCTGCCGTAGCGCAAAGATGCCTGCCTCCATGGCTGCGAGACCCGCTCCTATGTAATTAGAAATAACGAATTCTAAGGCAACGCAAATATTAAGGTTAAGAGGCTGAGCTCGTAGATGATGATAAAATAACATAGTTATGTATAATATATTACATTTCTGACTGTATATTCCTGTAATTATTACACAATGTAGCTTTAAAAGCCATAATGTACCGTAGGTCACTAAGTAGGAAAAATACAACTTACCTGCCAGGACAAACCTTTTTTATTTCTGTGTTGTGTAGGATATGTTAAAATAAAAAAAAAGAAATGTATGTTGATTCTAAATGTTAACGTGTGTTTTGTTCATTATTCCTTGTTTTCTTTTTAAATGCTTAAAAACAACACAACAAAAAGTTAATGAAAGCAAAAAAAATCCAAAAAGTATGTGTTTTAAATGGTTTTACCCTACATATTAGTTTGTGTACTGTCCCATTTTATACTATACACATATGTTGTATTCTGTTTGCATAACAGGGTGGTATCTGTTTTGTTGACCAACAAGTTAGTTAGCTCTACCATTTAAGGGAAGCTCACTTTGCTGTAAAATCGCACGCTCGTTCTTTTAAAGTAAAAAAAAGAAAAAAGAATAAAAAAAAAAACGTAACTCTGCCTGAGTATCTTTTAAGGTTACTTTGCCGGTCCCAAGCCCGGATAAAAGAGGAGGGTTAGATGTAGAGCGAGAAATTTCACAACACAAAACCAAGAAATTGTTAAACGTTAAGGGCTTATGGCAAAATTCCAACAAAACTGAAACATTGATTGTTCACCCAATGAAAAAACCCAGGAATTTGAAAGTTCACACTGCAGCCTAGATAATAATTACCAATTGATTTATTGATCTCACATTGGAGAAATTTTCCTCATTTAACCCATCCCCTTGGGGATCAGTGGGCTGCCATCGTGCGGCGCCCAGGGAGCAGTGTGGGGTTAAGGGTCGACACTCAGGAACCCAGAGTGGAGGCTGTGGGGATCAAACCGGATACTTGCAACGTTCTCAGAGCACAAGCGCACTGCCCTAACCACAAGACCAACTCTCCCCCAAAAGTGCCAATATGCCACCAGTATTTTATCTTTTCATAATAATCTGAACAACACGGATCTGATCTTTTCAAAAGCCAGTGTCTAAAGTCTAGAAGCGGCCTGAAAATATTGGGTTTATTTACCTACGTAAAGACTGAGAGGAGAGGAGAACCTAGCGGATACAAAGAGTGTTCTTTCATGCTTCAAAATTGGAAATATTGTTAAGTGCTTTAATGAAAATTTGTGTACATCTAAACATAGAGATGTGTTTTTTCTAATGGTCAAATTAGTCATAAAATTAAAACTAGAAAAAGCTGTTTTAGAGAAACAGAAGGTGAGAGTGCTTCTGCTGAATGAAAAAAAGCTGAAATTACCTGAAGAACATATGAAAATGTGATAGGAAGTCAACAGAAACTTCAAACTGCAGAAAACAATTGAATCATCTGAAGATTTTGTAGGTAAGAATCATTTGGCAGTAAAATGGCAGAAACAGACTCAACTTAAAAGCTGCACATCCAAACCATACATGATATCAAAAAATGTCTTGAATGTGGGCACTAGAAGGGTCTTAATATAATGTCTCCCAAGTTTCTAGAAAAATGTCTAAAGAAATTTTGAAGGGGGGGTCACCTACTGCCCAGAAATATGTCAGCCGTGTTATGAATTAGCAGCAAACAGAAAAGCTTAATTCCTGTCCAGAAAGAGAGCAGAATGAAGGCAAAGTTCACAGCATAGGCTGAAAAGTATTAAATTAGCTGAATCAGAAAAGAAATTACCAAGAAAAACTTGAATCTTATCTGGTTGAACAAAAAAGGAAAAGCTTAAGGATGGGAAATAAAATGTTGAGGAAGATGGTATTGAATAAGTATCAGAATTTTGAAATCATATGTGGAAATGTCAAGACTTGGCAAAACTATTTGAAATGATTTAAAATGTGTCTGTTGATCAGCATAAAGAAAACAGTGTCATCCTTAGAGGATTGAAAATCTACAAACCTATGTGCAAGACTGACCATGAGAAGCAGAGGACGGACAGAGAGAGAAGCTTATAGAAAGAGAGCTAATATTACTTAAGGAGCTGAATTTATCAAAAAAAAAACTAACCTGCATGTTACGAGCCGCTGTGGTGATGAAAGCACCGTTGGCAGGCTTAGGCTGCATGTTACAAGGTTAGCACATGCTTTATTACAGTGTAAATCTTAGAACCTTATTAAGAAATATGCACTGAGGTGTGTGGTCAACAGGCCTTGGTAGTGTAATTTGAAGAAATTGGTTGGGGTTGGGTCATAGCTACGAGCCATACAGCAAAATGAATGAGTGTGTGTAAGGAAGAGGCTTTTATTTTGTAGAGTCCCTTTAGTCTTATTTCGAAAGTCTATTATGGATGTGTGTCAAGGGAAGGGTCATGCCCAGCAGTGATACAGATTCCATTTCTAAATGTGAAATCACTTGTTTTCCATGTTATTGTGTGAATTCATGCTGTATTAGAGCGTAGGGTCCCCGGAGTCTTATTTTGAAAGTCTATCAGGGTTGCGTGTGAAGGGAAGGGTCAAGGCCAGTAGTCATATAGTATCCATTTCCAAATGTTAAATCAGTGTTGTCTCCCTCCATTAGATTAAAATGTGCTGTATAAAGTGGCAGAGGTAAAATCCCTTTGAAGCTCGGTTACCTTGACAACGCTTAACGAGTCTGTCAGTGACAGAGAGAAAAGCGCAGCAGTATCGTTCCTTTGTTCTCAGGCTTTTTTGAATGGGAAAAACAGCTCAGAAAAAACGAGTGCTTAAGACAAACCGTAAATGATATCTAAAAAATTATTGTAGTCTAAGCGACAGCTATCCTTTGCATAAGCATTCCCACTTGACAAACCAGAAACCATGGAGGCATCAGGGGGATAACAAACACAAGGAGGAAGGCTCAGAGAGACGGAGTTGGAGGAAGTATGACGAGGAACCAGCAAAGAAGAACTGAACAGAGAGAGTATTTAAAGGAGA